TTTACATGACCATGATGCCTCATTAATTTGTGGTGTGCGTTCGCTTAATGACGAAACTATAAGACGCTAATATGTAGATAAGAAATTATTTAATAAGATTAAGATTTCAGTACGTAATTCAAATGAAGCAATCTTACCTCAAATTCTTGAATATACACATTAAGCCAACCATCCAAATCGTCAGGACGATTCTCATTTAATTCCTCCGATTGATATGATAAACCTAAGAAATCTTTTAATTTATCTGGCCAGCTTGTTGATACAGCTTGACATAGGAGCATAAAACTTTCTAAGGCAACGGCAAGACTCGACTTTCCCTATTATTATGATATTTGTGAACATAAATTTGATAATAAATAATGGTAATACTTTAATCGAATTACTTTATCTTTTCTTGAGTCATCACTTTGAAAAGTATTTGAACAACATTTATCGTCCTTGATGAATTTACTCATTATGACATGAGCCAAGTATGTGCAATACTCAAACTTCACATGATCGTCCGGATCAAAAGATGGACTCTTATAAGATATAATTGATATTAATTAACGTTATTATCTCTTATAACCTCGAAGCAAATAAAATGAAAAAGAAGAATATACATACTTGTGATATTGTATTATACGTCACTGCAATTATATATTTCATAAATTCCGGGTCTGTTCTTAACAGCGCAGTTGCATGGCTTAAATCATCGCTAAATATGAAATTCATAAGTTCAGCTATGCATTTGAAGCTCAGAATCGTACTTTCAGGCATCGTGGTTAATATTTTACGTCCTATTATATAAATAAATATATTAGATTGCCCAAAAGGTATAGCTTATAGTAAACATTAAATACACGTCATTACCTCGAACATTAACAGATTTTTCCCTAAGGACTTCATACAAAATCATGTACTTTTTGAATAATGTCAGAATTTTTTGCGATGAATCAAGGGTATGCTCTTCAGAAAAGAAAACGTATTCAATTGCAGCCTATTGTCATAAAAATAAATCTTAATAAATATTGATCATTAATTTTATAGGGTGAATAAACAAAAAAATCCTACTTCATAACAACCAAGCAAAAGATTTGCCGACAAATTATTTCGCATCCCCTCATTACTAGCCATTTTAAAGTCAGAAGCCGGATCAATTGAGAATTCCGTCATATCGGCTTTGAGCAGCCTTTCAATCAGAAGCTGAAGAAAGTCTTTACATTTTTGGAGTTGTCCTTTGTCGTAATCATTATTATCTAAACCAAAAATTTAATTATTAAAATTCTTAATTGTATATTAAAATTGTTGAGAGATATACCTTTATCATTATCACTGTTCTGATTAGAAGATGTGATCGATTTGCTCATACAAGAAAATAAATATGGAAGAGGCTCTACAATAAAGGTTGAACCATCTACGCTGTTGAGACAAGAATCTAGAAGAATTGTCGCGTGAATTGAAGTTTCTAATTCAAAGTATTGTTGGAACTGGATTTAAAAATAATTAATTAAAATTAATAATTAGTTGAATAGGTCTTAACATAATTTACACAATTTATATATATCGGAAAAAACTTGCATGGGGAAATATTATATCAAAAACAATAGGTTTTATATTTGGCTCTGCATCCATCAAATCAATCAATCCTTGATACAATGATAGTCGTATCTGTGGTTGTTGACTAAAACATCTACGTAATATTCCTAGGATAAAAAATAACGAAATCTAATTACAACTTGTTTATATCAAACTAATTTACATAATTGCAGTCCATAAATATCGAATCATTACTTAATATTTCAAAGAAGAGTGAATTTTGATCTTGTTTGCTCAAAGATTTGGAAGAGCTCATTGGCATTTGTGACATTGTCTGCACATCGAGACCTTTAATTGTGGTAATTCTCAATAATTGCAAATATCCAGCCAACGCATTTTGCCGTCCTTCCATATCCCTATGCAAATTTAAAAGATTTTTAACATAACATACTAAAAAATAAATTTTAAACTACAAATATAGATTGTTTATTACTTAGTGGACATCCCCTTTCGCAAAACCAACATGAGCCCATCACGGAATGATTTATTTACAAGTATGATGGGTTGTATAGCTTTGAGAAATATATCAGCAATACTAGTGGGTAGAAATGTCAAATAATCTAAGGTCCCTTTTATCTAAAATGAACCATTTTATGAGTTAATTTGAATCTTCTAAATAATAAATGATTAGGGAAATTTTAAATACCTTTGAGAGATGATTATGTAATGAATGCGGCGTTTCTTTTACAATTAACTTAAGTAAATTCAAAAAGTATCCAACGCTTGATGCTTTTGAAATGACTCGGCTAAGAATCTGTTCAAGTACATCGGCACGAACCATCTCGTGGATCTGAAGAATATATATGTTAATAATAATAGTGCACCAAATTATGCATTATTAAAACATTTTGGCTACTACCTTGAACATTTCGAATAAAATGGTCGTGCCTAAATCACCGGCCATTTCATTTGAAGTTGTTGGTGGCCCATTTAATATCTTAAAAGTATCTTGAATAAAAAAAAATTTAAATTTATATGAATCTAAGGTTTGATATTGAATACTTTTTTACACTCACCAAATTTACTAAATGGACTCGATGAAACAGCAGAATCTAATATAAGTATTCCGAGCTGTACTAAACTTTGCGTAACTTGATCCCAACCAAAAGAAGTCTTTCGAATTATTTTGCAGAATATCTCTAATATCGGTGCTGATGTGATAATTTGAGAACTATCAACATCTTGAAATATTAAAGAAATAGAGATAGTATAGCGTTAATAAATATGATACTTTTATGCTAAGAGATAATCACGTTAACATACGAGATATCCACTTCGCCTTTTCAAGTTTTTCACGATCTTTGAATGCAGACATTATAGAAGATTTAAGAAAGTCAAGTGTCTAAGAGATTAAAGGTGAATAAGTAAGTATTCATTGTAAATTCATTTATGATTTTTCGTACCTGATCTTTAAATCTAAGTATCCTTGCTATTGATAGTAGGCAGGATATGTTGAACGGAGTAAATAAAGTAGTTTTACTCATTTTTACATATTTCATGAATTCGTTTCCTAATTCCTATTTTGGCAAAGCGAAATTCAAACGTTATATTACAGTCGTTAATATAAAGTTATATTGTATATCTTTACCTGATCTTGAGTGATAGCGAAGCAAATGTGAATTATTACAGTCCCTTCCATATGACTAAGTTGTGCAAATGATAGTGAATTACTGGAAACGTCACGTTCATCAGAACTAAAATGGATAAAGTTTCGTTACAACTTGGAAATTTGTAAACATCTTTTTTTTTTTTTCTAATAGAAAAATGGAAAAATGTTACAGACTTTGGCTCTTCATCTTCGGTAACCTCTTCATCAAGGCTATTGAAATGTTCAGATATACCTCGTAAAATAAGTCGTTTGTGACCCTATTAAATAGATTGATAAGACGTTTAAAGTACTTTTCAATAAAATATTGAGAAGCCAAAAAAACTAAAGTACCTTTCGTGAAAGTAAAAGCAATTGATATATCAAGGGTGGTATGCCATTCATATCCATTGAGTCGAATTGCCTTTTATACAGTGTTAACATTTCTCGAATTGATTAAGATATGTGCATATTACGAAAATATTGAGAATTACCTCATAATTTTTTCCACAATAAATTGTAGCTATCATAATATAACCAAGTATTAACAAGTTAATGTTATAAAAAATATATATATAAATACATATTTATTCTATTTACAGACCTGGTCATTTGTCATTAATATGTCACGAAACTCTCCAATTAGGCTTAAAACATTACTCGCATGCCATTTATACGAGCATATTTTATTTAATACGTAATCTTTATAATCCGGACCAGACATAGAAGTACCAGCAGATGACTTATCTGAAGGCAACTCAATTTCGTCTGATATAATATCGAAGGTAGAGAAAAACATTGGTAGAAATGCAAACAATTTGCCATGTATTGGCTTAACTCGCTGCATTGTATGAATAATACATGTCGTGGCCTCCACAAATGCCTTTACTATAATCAATGAAATATTTGATCCCACCACTACCTTTAAATTTTCCAATTAAATAACATTTGAATAAGTATGTAAAAAAAAAACAATATAATATACCGAATTGACTTTTTTCGGATGCTTACTTCATTAATACATAATTCGACTAGATCTGACATTATTTTGTCAAATTGCGAGGAAGTATCGTTTCCTTTTTCGCTTAACCTTTAACAAGAGTCATGTGATTATTTATTTAACAAATATTTCATTAGCGAGTTAATTTTACAAACCATTTGACAATTTCTAGCATAATCATGACGCGTCTTCGAACTCTTAATTCTTGCTTTTCAGTATCTTGCTTATCTGGGACATCTATAGATCCTATACGAGAACATAATAAAATATAAAAATTGTTTGTTTATACTATTGATAATGAATAGCTAAATTATACCTTTGAATAGGGCACGTATCACTGCAAAACATCCTTTATGTTCGTCAAAGAATTTTACTTCATCCTTCAAATAAGATTTAACTAAATTTGCTATCTATTAATTAAAAGCATTAATTATCGCGTGATGAAAACAGTCGCGTCTACTCGAAAAGCAAGAACTAGAAAAGACCACCTGTTTGATATCAATGGTATCAAGATAGGAAATAAGATTATCGATTTCATTTTTAAAACTTAAGTTCAAGATTTTTTTATCCATTGGGATGAGCTTAAAATTTACGCGTAAATTTTGAACCATTTATTTATCTGTTAATTGAATGAATAATGATTGGATAGTCTCGCCGCAGGAGGCACCTGACTTTAACTGTGCATCAGCATTTAGAAGTTACACTAACGCAAAAGCGCAAATGCAATTGGAGCAAATGCCAATTTTGTGTAACTTCCAAATGCTGAAAATTATCTATATGCGTAACTTAATACAGTCTTTCTTTCATATTCACATTATTCACATTATTCACAAAAGTATGTCTTTCAATAATAAACATTCCTTTCGACGTAAAGCACTTTCAACACTTCCGGTAGAATTACTGCAGGAAATTTGTTCATATCTTGGTTGGCGCGATTTACGTAATTGTTTATACCAAAATTCAATATTATTGCACATTACAATCCCTTTGATTTGGAGAAATTTAGGCGATAAATATTGGAAAAATTATGAAAAAACACCTTTACGCTGGAACCTTATTAAAAGGACGTTATTTTCATCAGCACAAAAAACAAACACATTTGACTTAACATATCACAAATATATTCAAAGGATAGATATATCGTCATCACATGATGCTACATTTAGAATTGATAAACTCACATTAGGATATCTTCTTACTCATTGTCCTAACTTGACAGAAATATCTTTAGAATATTATAAAGAATCATCGTTTGATGAACCATTCCAAATTTTACAAGATTTGCACAATTCTAATATTTCCACTTGCGGCATAAACTCTCACCAAATCATTTCACCAATTCGTAAACTAACAATACAACTATGCGATTTATCACCCGTACATTTAATTCACTTATTATCATTATACATCACTACATTAGAAGAAATGTTTTTGGAAATAATTTTGGAAAGAGCACCTTTGCAATTAGAAGATTTGAGAAGGTTGGTAAAGAATAACAAGAAACTTAAAAAATTAAAGTTTTATACTACCCAAAGTGAAAGATGTTTCGAAGGTAAAACTTTAAGTGATTTTGCTAATGGTGCCGAACTACCTGTTGCTCAAGATCGGTGGAATCCCAATATTGTATAATGACATAACAAGGTATTTAATCTTATATACATAAATATATACATTCTATATTAAACAAGACATCAAATTCAACTTCTTGGAGAAATATTAAAATTACGAGGTATTAGTTTATATTTAGGATTGTATTTAATTAATGAGAAATTTTTTAGAAGACACATAAAAAATCTTACTTTTTTTCAGAATCATTTATTTTATTTACTTTAAAATAATTAGAATATCAGTCCACGTTAAAATTTAGCATTCAAACTCATAATACCAATATCCTTTAGTTCTAAAACTTTTCTTCTTTTTCCTCATCATTTTCGAGATCCTTATAATACCTGCTTGTATCAACACCATGATTATTGTGGTTGACAAAATTAAATATGGGGAATGCAGCTGTCATATGAATTATCTAGGTTAATCAATCAATCACTTAAAAAAACGTTGGAGGTATAATATACGTACAAAACCTCAGAGCAGCATATCTAGACATCCAAGATGAAGACATCTGAGCATATTCATTCATTCGAGAAACTCCGTATAATGGTTTTCCTTCTTTTATACGTTGTCTCATTTCTTTTAAATCTCGTTCATATTCTTGCGCATTTTCAGTCCATCCCCAAAATCTCACTACATTTAATGAGCATATTTATCAAATTTATAATAAATTATGTTCAATGAATTTTCTCTTTTAACCTACTGCTACTTCTTTGATATGCAAGTAAAAATCCTCCAGCAGCACCGACACATGCACTAAGTTTTAAACCAAAACCTAGATTTGGCGTAGGGACACGGCCACCTTTTTCTATAAACACCAAATTACATCGAATTTATTCATTAATTTAAAATAATTTTAATTGTTCTTTTTTCATTTAATAATGATTATTTTTCTTACCAAGTAAATAGTAAAAAGCGGGACCAAAAGCTGTTGTCGCTGCCCAAACTAAATAATCTGAATTTCTGAAATATCTAACTACACGAGTAAAATGTGGGTCAGTATCAATAGGTTCATAATCGGTTTTTATTTTTTGAGGCGGCATTTCGGGAAAGAAAATTTAAATTCAGTAGCGGTAGTTAAAAACTTTTGATTTTCCTGATTTCATATGATTATGCGCGTAGGATAACAGGAGGAACCGTCGATGTTACACGACTGATCCTTCACCCGGTGTGCAACATATAAAAAAATATTTTACAATACCAAATCACGTTATGATTATAATCCAACACCATTTTATTATAATAAAAATGGTGTTGGATTATATTCATAACATGTACGGTTATTATGTTCTAATAAAATTGTACTCAATTAAAAGCAACCCTTTCAAAAAAGTTCTCATTTTTTTTGCAACATTTTGGTTGCTTCTATTCAGTAATATACAGTACTTAGAGTTTGGAACTGGATTTGATCTTTGGATTTAAATCCAATTTCCTTCGGATTTGATTTAAATTTGGATTCAAAAACGATTAATCCGAATCCATTAGGCCATACAAATTTAATTACTTGGTTTTCATAACATGAAATTTTTAAATAGACCCGGCCGGCCGGCTTTTTTTTTTTAATTTTCATATAAAAAATTTTTTAGAAGTTTTCAAATTTTGACCCGGCCGGGTTATGAAAACCAATTTATTAATTTTGCATGGCCTTATGGTATATCGAATTAATTTTTATTTTTGAAAATAAATCATATCAATATTATGATTGGCATTAGATCTCTTCAATTATTAGGCTTTATGACTACAGAAACTAAAGTTCATATGGAAGGCAATCAATTTTAACTTATTCTTGAGCTTTACTATTTGTAAAATATTTTTGGTTTTTTGTAAGAACTAAGTTTATATAGGAGGCAATAAACTAATTTTTGAGCTTGTACCTTGCGAAAGCTAAAGTTTATATAGGAAGCAATTAATTTTAATTCAAAATTTATATTATTTTCTATTAAAACAAATTCTTAGCTTTATATATACTCTTATGCTCTTTATAATGACCTATAATATATAATTAGATTGCTGTAAAAACTAATATTCGTATGGAAAATAATTACTCAACTTATTTTTTTATGATATTATTTCTTACAAAGAGTGAAGTTTATTAAATAATCAATAAAGTTTTGTAATTTCAATTATATAAATAATGTAGCAAACAAGCAAATATGATCATATACAAAATAGCTTTTTTACTTGCTTTTTTTTTTAGACCTTGATATAAATAAACCAGGTTCTTTTATTCTAAAGCTGAAATCTCAAGTTTAAATCCTATAAAAAGTTATAAAAAATATAAAAGCAAAAGTAGTCAAAGTAATAGAATTAATAAAAGCCATATTTTTTACTTTTTTTTTTAGAAATCCTGATGACAATAATATAGCTTACTATATAATATATAAAAGCCTTGATAGTAAAAACCTTGATAGTAAAAATAAGAAATCTTATCTTTATAGTTACAAAAAAAGTATAATTACAAACATAGCTACTTATTTACAAAAAATATACAATATAACAAACTAAAATTTTAAATTATATATACGTATATATATATATTTTAATGTTAAAGATGAGATCTTGCTCTTATTTTTATTAAATTTAATAAAAACTTTTTATATAGTTGAGAAAAAGTTTTATTATTTAAATCTAAAACTAAGAAAAAGAACTTAGACATATATCTAAGTAAATCTAAATACTTATTTGCAGCCTAAACTTACCAGAGTAGCCAAGATTTATCTAGATTTGGAAATAAGTAAGAATAAGAGAAGGGTGTAAAGAAAATTTAATCTAATTAAATTACCAAGTTTCTACTTTATAGGAGGAGTTAGATATAAGTGAATTAGAAGAGTTTTTAGATAGAAATATAGAGTTAGAAGTAAATGTAGTAGAAATTGGTATGAGTAATATTACTATTACTAGTTAAAGTGAGATTGGATTGAGATCTTGACATACAATATGGGATCCAAATATTTGTATAAATTTGTTAATTAAAATAAAGAAGAAATTAAATAGTAAGAGAACAAGCAAAATTATTAGAAGAGGTGTATTCTTGTAATGTATTTATAATATCAAGTAGAACAAGGCCAAAAACTATAGAAAACAGTAATGGTTTAAAAGTAAAAAAATGTATTTGTAGGCTGTCAAGATTTTTGATTTGGCTAAGTTAGTATATTTGAATTTGTAAGATCTGAAGTTTGGTAGAGGTTAAGATATATTCTAAAGAGATATTAAGAAAATTTAATATTATATTAAAAGAATGGCAAAATGCCCAATGCAATATGTTAGTAAATTGTTGGAAGATATGACAAGAGTTAAGGTAGGAAAGATATTTTTATGAAGAATATGTAGGGATAAAAAGTTATCAAGTAGTAGTTTAACTCTAAAAGTTTAAATGTTAATGATTGAAAGCTATGTGCAAAATTTGAAATTTTTTGATTATTGTTAAGATAAAGCCAAGTAGCATTTTAATGAATATCTTGAAAAAGAGAAAATTATTGTTGAAAACAATATTGTAAGGACTATCATGCAAGAATATTTGTATGGCAAATAGTTTAGATGCTATGGCAAACAAAGAGCTCAAGAGAAAGATTATTAAGAAAAGGGATGAATTAAGTATTATACATATTGCAAGTATTAAAGATAAAGATTGGTACATAGAAGTAGGGTTGCATCGGTCCGGTCCGGTCCTTAGCAGGACCGATTACATAGTAGCACCGGTCCGGTCCGGTCCGGTCCTTCGGTCCTAAGAACGGTCCTTGGTAACACAAGCTGTGATTGGTCAATTATACAGTATATATATACTAAACATCGCTATCTCTCTTTGTGATAGAACAGGTCAATTTAAAAGTAACAAGACTAATGCGGCAGCATCTATAATGCAAGTTTGC